AGAGAGAGAGAGAGAGAGAGAGAGAGAGAGAGAGAGGGAGAAAAGGTGGGGGAAAAAAATAACGGTGAAAGATATGGCGGAGAGCGGACTGTCCGTTGTCTCGAATTCTATTCTAAAACTCTCAATTACAAATAGACAAATTATATGTTATTCCTTGCAAATGGAATACTCGTTGATCCAGTGATCCATTCGCGAGAAAAATTTTTCGCGAGACCGATTGATTCTCGAGGATCTGTTCCAACTGAACAGAAAGAAAAAGAGAGAAGAGAAATGGAAAAATAAGAGGAGAGGGAAGGAAAAAGATGGGGAAACAGCGAGCTCTTTCTTACACACAGGGTAATTATCGTCGTTAATTTCGGATGGGAAGATAGAAAGGTCGTCCAGATTGCTGAAGCGGAACAGTTTTTCCTCTGCTCGTCCTTCCCCGCGCGTAAACAGCGTCGTGGACGAAGGGAGGGGAGGGATCTTTAAGCGGCTTAAGAATATTTGCCAAACTACGACGAACGTTTCTTTCAACGCGCTTCCTACGAGACGTCGCTTCACGCCACGTCCTTCGTTATTCCTTTCGAGATAAAGAGTGCGATCTTTTTCGTTCGAGAGAATTGTCCGAACGGATAAGAAATATTTATCTCGAACTTTTTCCCACTATTCACTCAAAAATTTTCTTGAGAATTTTGTTGAGAAATAATTTTCAACTCGAAAAATTAATTATCCGAGGCGAGTTCCGTGATACTAGGCGTTACAAAATAGACAGATCTTTCGTTCCTTCTTCCTTCTTTTTCCTTCCCATTCGCTTATTCGAATGGATGGACGGAGAGGGGAGATTTTTTTGGAACATTTCCAACATACACACATACACACTACACACACACAGGGCGAACTCAAAACAACGGAGGCCATTAAAATCTACGGATTGCTCTTTGCTCCTTTTGAAAAGTCTGCCTCGTGGAAACGACAATTTCACGGGATAATAAAAGTTGGAAAAAGTTGCGTGCCTGGGAAACTGATGCGTCGTTAATGGTGCTCGATGCTCGCGCTCGCCGTGTGTACCTTTCCCTCTGTCGTATCGGCGAGAAATGATTCGTTCCACGGGCGCACCAAGTGTTGACCTTTGTTAGGCGTCGTCTCTCGTATTAATGTTTTCGTTTCTTGCTTCGCGTATTAATGTTGTCGATCGAGGCGAAAACAAAAGTGAATTTGTAATATTTATAGCGTTTCGATTATTACTTTTCTCTTTTCTTTTTTTGATTTTATTTTAAAAAGTGAGAATATAATAATTTTACTTTGATAATAATAATAATATAAATTATTATTATTATTATTATATAAATATAAATATATATAAATATAATAATAAATTATTAAAATATCGTGCATTTGTTGTTTTATTTGTATAAAAGATAGTGAGAATTTTTATTTTCCAAGGTTATCTCCTTCTTGAAAACTGAGATAATATATATATTCTTTTTAAGAAAAATCGAAATCTTGTTTCGAAATCTTGATTCTCGTTCGCTGTTGTGAAATTTTAGCACTTGATCGAATCCAATCGGATTTTTAATTGGGAAAGAAAGTTGCAGTGGGACGAATTCGAAGAAATTCGAGTTTGAAAATTCGTTTAAGAAAAAAAAAAGGAGGAGGAAGGGGGAATGGGGGTTTTAGCAAGGAAAAGAAACTGGATTTACGTTTGGGCGTGAGCGCGAATTCGAGGCATGAATATTTATAAGATGGAAGTTAATTGGAAAAGCTTGCTCGTTGTATCGCGAAAGTAATGCCCTGTCGAGATAATATCTATCTAAGGACGAAGTTAAAAAACTTCTCTGGCCGTGTGTTTACCCGATTTATATCGTTCAAAGTACAAGTTTTAATGGAGAGGAGGAGGATTAATAATAATTAATCGAGTTAATAATCTGTGGTTATTTAACTTCTTAACTGACCACCTCCATTTTACCACTATCGGGTAAAAAAATTTAGATTTATCGCTATCGTTTCATTAATTTGATTTATAAACGGATACGGCGGCCATATCGTAATTACGTTTTCGATAATCTAAATGAAATCGTTGCTTTTCAAAACGAACCTAATCGAGCAATACTTATTTATCTCGTAATAACGTGAAAATTTATTGATTCTTTTTTTTTCGAAAAAAACCCAGCGATGGAGAAAATTTAATAGTTGAAATCACGAATAAAGTTACTTTGATAATTTATCGTTCGAAACGTAATAATAATTGCGAATATTATATGAGAATAGTTACGAATAAAAACGTTGTTCGAGCATTTTAATAAGTGGTTAAAATAAGTTTATTCGATAATGTTTTTAATACATTGCCTCTGATTGCATTTAATTTAACTGCAAAGAAATATTATTTTACAATAATGATAGATACAGAGAATTCATTAATTTTTCTTCTTTTTCAATTTTATCGACGATAATTCGATCGAAAAAAATATTGTAAATTTATTCAGTTACGTACGTATCGTTGTGTATCGAAATTATAGACAGTCTAACAAAATGGCTAGCGTTTATACGAAAATGATAAAACAAACGATGGAAATGTTAAGAACCGTATTGCCCTCGCGGTTACTCCTTCGATAATAAACATCGGGCAGGCGATGATTTCATCGAAATTACCGACTTCGTTAATAATAAAACTGCACTGTCTCGAAAAATAATCGAACACTGTATATTTTCACTCGAAGAGAGAAAGAGAAAGAGAGAGAGAGAAAAAAAAAGTATCGAATTTGTCGAATTTCCTTCATTTCAAGAAACAAAAAAAAAGAAACTTATTAAAACTTATTAAACGATATACAATCCCTTTATATTCCTTTAAAAGAACAATTTTCTCTCGAAAATTGATTGGAGAGTGAACAGAGTTCCCTTATTCGTTTATTCGTCTACACTTCCTTTTCAAGAAAAGAAAAGAAAAGAAAAGAAAAGAAATACATAAGAGAAAGAAACATGGTATAAAACAACGTTGACCCAATTGGAGAACGGGCGACAAAAATTCCAGCCGGGCTGTATTCAGGTGCACGACGCAAACAAACCCATTACTTTAAAATAATGTAAAATCTTATTTTCCCCTTGCTGGTAACAAAACTCGTTATGAGGAGAAATAGGTCGAGTCGGAATCCGCGGAATGCCAGCCGAGGAAAAAGGAATCATCCAAGAAGGTCGGCTTCTGCCGACATAAAATACGGCAAAAATCGATGATGGACGCGTGGAAAATTAAAAAAAAAAAAGATCGCGTCACCGAAGGCTGCCTCGGTCGGTATTATCGGTCGAGGTATTTCCAGATTTTATTTAACTATCCCACTACGCCCCCCTTCCCTCCCATCACTCCTTTCTATACAACGGTTTCCCCTGTAGACGATAACGTGAGAATTACCGGCTGCTCCGCAGAGACAACGTTGTTGTAC